GCGACATTAACATTTTGATGGTTGGTGACCCGTCCACCGCCAAATCACAACTCCTTCGTTTTGTCCTCAACACAGCTCCTCTTGCCATCGCCACGACCGGTCGAGGCTCCTCTGGAGTTGGTCTTACGGCAGCTGTAACTACTGACAAGGAAACTGGTGAACGACGATTGGAAGCTGGTGCCATGGTTCTGGGAGATCGGGGTGTTGTCTGCATAGACGAGTTCGACAAAATGAGTGACATCGATCGAGTGGCCATCCACGAAGTCATGGAACAGCAAACAGTCACGATCGCCAAAGCTGGAATCCATACTACGCTCAATGCCCGATGTAGCGTCATCGCAGCTGCAAATCCGATTTATGGACAGTACGATACACATAAAGACCCCCACAAGAATATTGCTTTGCCGGATTCCCTTCTCTCGCGTTTTGATTTACTCTTTGTTGTTACAGATGATATCGAGGATGCTAGAGACCGCATGGTATCTGAACATGTTCTCCGTATGCATCGATACAGACATCACGGCACAGAAGAGGGTGCTCCGGTTCGTGAGCAGGTTAACAGCACCCTTGGCATCGGATTGGAAGAGAATCAAGACTCCAACCGCCCGACTGAGGTTTATGAGAAGTTCAACGTCATGCTCCATGCAGGCATGTCCGCGACTGGTCGGGGACCAAACAAGAAAATCGAAGTGCTCAGCATGCCATTCATTAAGAAATATATTCAGTATGCTAAATCAAGAATCAAGCCCGTGCTCACCAAGGGAGCCGCAGATCACATCGTGGCGACCTACTCCTCCCTCCGAAATGACGAACTCTCCGGAAACCAGCGGAAGACCTTACCCATGACCGCACGTACTCTCGAAACCCTCATCCGTCTCTCCACCGCACACGCCAAGGCCCGTCTGTCAAGTAGAGTCGAAGAAAAAGATGCAAAAGTAGCAGAGTCAATCCTCCGCTTCGCTCTATTCAAAGAAGTAGTCGAGGACGAGCGACGCAAGCGGAGAAAGACAGCTGCTCTGGAGTCCGACTCGGACTCAGCTGATTCGGACTCCGACGCAGAGGACGCCCAGCAAACACCAGCTGCTCCTGGTCCACGCTCAACTCGCCGCCCAGGCCTCAGGGGCAGCACCGCCGCCACGCGAAACGGAACCACAGCCACCAACAACGACAATGGCGGTGACGACAACGACAACGACAGCTTATACGACGCCAGCCCCAGCTCCCGCCGCACCCTCCCCGCCTCCCGCCAAAACGGAACCCAACTCGGCAGCACCACCACCCAATCCGAATCCCAGATGTCTTTCGCCTCCTCCCAGCCTGCCTCCCAGCTCCTCCATTCCCAAACGGACAGCCAATCTCAGATGCAGGGGCAGCCCGGGGCCAACTCTATCGTAGCCGCCGTTGAAGCTGCTAGAGCTCTGCCGCCGTTATCAGCCGCTCGTCTGGTGACGTTTAGACAGGCGCTGGGCCAGCTGATGAGGTCTGAGCTGTTCGAGAGTGATTCTGCTGGTGTGCGGGAGGTGGTTGGGAGTGTGAATGGGGTTGTTGAGGGGGCGGGGGGGAAGGGTTTTGAGCTTGCGGAGGCGGTGCAGGCGCTTGGTGTGATGAATGAGAGGAATGAGATAATGTGGGCTTTTTCTTTTCTTTTCTTTCCTTTTTCTCTTTTGGATGTGGACTAACGAATTTTCTTGATAGGTATCTGGGTGACGAAACGGTTTATCGGATATGAGATCATATTTTTGTTTTTTTTACAACAGATTGCTCAGCACCTCTTTTCTTATATCTTCCTTTTCCCCCATGATCATATAGGCGTTTAGTTTCTAAGGGGTTCGCTCTATGGGCACGTCCAAGGAACCTGTCTTCCCCTTTCTCCCATGGAATGCTATTTGATTTCTAGAGGAGGTTTCTGTATTGGAGTGTTTCGGGTTCGCCTCTTTTTTTTTTTTTTTTTTTCCGTCCTTATATTTCATTTCATTTCGAGCGTTGAAATATTAGATAGCCTATGAGTAACGTCATATATTTGATGGAGATTGAAATCTCCTTTCTTCAAATGAGCCTTTCGGCGCTTTGTTTCTGTCGTCTCTTTTTGTCCCCCTTATTTTTACAGCTCTATCAAATGCCATGAGATCCTTTGTTTCTCAGTCTCATCACATTTACTCCTTATAATGCAAACAACAGAAAAAAGCTCACAGATCAAGCTCTTATATAGCAAGCGTTCAACCGACATCTTAAATATTGTGCAAACAAATCAAGAAGAAAATAAAAGAAGTTAAAACAGTTCTTGTTTCTACTGCTTCTTCCTCATCTCCCCACGTCCCCACGCCAACTCAAAACTATTCTAATGAGAAAACTCAAGCTTAAAAAAGAGAAGAAGAAAATGAGAAAAAAGAAGAAAAAATCACATTCCTAAACACCAAACAAAATCCGACCCAGCCCAAAGCAGCCAAAAGCAGCCAACCTGAATCACAGAGTCCCTCAATGGACTCTCTTGCTGCCCCATCAATCTATTCCAACCTCTTCCGCCTCAATCCTTGCCAGCGGCGACGGCGCCCTCCTTCCACCACCGCCACCGCCACCGCCATCCGACAAAGACGAAGCAGACTTGTTCTTCCTCTTCCGCTCATTGCCAGACGTCGAAGCTGCAGAACTGCCCCTGCGCGGCCTGTGGCGCTCATGATTGCTGCCATTGCCATTGCCATTGCCATTGGAAAAGTCATCATGGTCCGAGAAGCGATTTGGCGTCGTGCTGCGCGAGGAGGTGCGGGAATGCGATTGTGCTGTTGCTGGCATGGTTGGGTCTGAATGCTGGTGTTGGGAGTGGTGTTGGGAGTGGTGTTGGGAGTGGTGTTGGGAGTGGTGTTGGGAGCGGCGTTTCGTAGATGAGGATGAGGAGGTAGCTAGAGCCGTAGATATAGAGGAATCTCTATGATGATGCGAATGGCCATGACCATGGCCATGCTGCTGCTGCTGCTGCTGCTGATGATGATGATGCTGCCCACCAGCACCCAACGGAGTGACGAGCTTCCTGCCACCACCCCCGCGCACCCCCTTCGCGCCCCACAACCACCTGATCCACCACAGCCAGCCCCCTTGCAACCGCGCCCTCTCGCGCCGCTGCTCCTTCAGTTTCCGCCTCAGCACAGCGCGCCGTTCATTCTCCTTCTCCCAGTAATCAGTGCGGTATTCGTCCCAGTTCTCGCGGAAGGCGGGAGAGAAGGATTTGGGGAGCAGGAGGAGTTTGATGTGGTCGCCGCCGGGGTTGATGTCTTCTTCGACGAGGGTGGTGCCGGGCGGGAGGGGGGGCGTTTCGCCTTGTGTGGTCAGGAAGGGTTCGTCCGCGTAGGAGGGGTAATATGAGGAGCTCTGTTGCTGCTGGGGGTGTGCAGCTGAGAGGGTTGCGCGGGATCGTTTCCCTTTCTCTTTCTCACCGCCGCCAGATGCCGTAGTCGTCGACTCCACATACTGAACCACGCCCCCCAACCCGGTCAGCACAGGGAACGGAAACAGGAACCCCACCCACGACCAGACCTCCACCCACCACGGGCCCCTTGACACCACAATCTTCGTATTCATCGCCCTCAACCCACGATTCGCGACGACCAACCACCTCCTCGGCCACCGAACGCCCCTCTCCCACTGGCCCGTGCCCCAGATAAGCACGCCGGTGACCACGCCGCCCATCAGGGCGACCTTCTCAGCCATCTCGACGACCCAGTAGACGGAGCCGCCGACGCCGCGGCCATCTTCGCGCGGGCGGAGGAAGAGGGCGTAGGCGAAGTAGGTGACCCAGCAGGCGAGGAGGAGGAGGAAGAAGGTGTTTTGGCGGCGGCGGGCGCGGAGAGCAAGGTACTGGGAACGCAGAGAGGATTCGAGGATTAGGAGGTTGAGGTAGATTTGTGGGGGGGAAGAGGGGAGGGTGGAGAGGGGGTCTGCGGGGAGGGTTGCGGTGGGGAGTGGGAAGGCGGTGTTCTCTTGCGGTGACGGTTGGGTATATATGGATGGCGACGGCGATGGCGATGGCGATGGCGATGGGGAGTGCTGTTGCTGGTGATAGGGGAGGAGAGACGGCTCGAGCGGGGGAGAGGGAGGGGCAGAGCCGGGAGGGGAGGCCACGGGGGAGAGACGCGGGGAGGGGGCTCCTTTGACGATCTGGTCAAGGCGGGATGACATTGTTGGGGCTAGGGGGGGAGAGAGAGAGGCATAGTAGCCCGTCGCGAGGGAGGGAAGGGAGCATATGCCAGCAATCAGCAGCTGGTGGGTGTGGGGGAAGAAGAGGGTGTGAAGTTAAGAGAAGATGAAGATAGAAGATGTTGTATTTATGTCAGGCTGGAACACATGACCCGCCGCTGTCTCCCCACCACCGACACCAGCGTCAAACTCACGGCGCAAACCCAGACACCACGCATGTGCAGTGACAGGAGGAGGGTGGATTCAGGGAGGGAATTGTAGATTGGGATGCTCTCACGATCTCAGCCGGAGAGCATTCATGGATGCTAGTAACCTGTAACTATGTGGCTACGTAGACCGTGGTGGCATCGTAAAACAACCACCAACAACAGGATCTCCATTCAATCAATGCGGAGAGAAGGCGGCTGCAGACGTCACAGGAAGAGCTGCCCCGTTCTCATCCTCATCTTCTGCTGCGTCGTGTTGGTCTCTTGGTCTCTTGGGGGGAGTTGGCGTGTCCCACTCCGCCTCCTCATCTTCATCTCATCTCAGCTGCTTGCATCCGTGATTTACTACCACGACAACTCCAGTCAGCGGCTCCATCGCAGGAACGCCACCCACCTCTTCAATCGCAGATCGCAGCCTCCAGCCTCTTCGTGACGAGTTCTCCCCTCCGTAGTGTCATCCTCCTCTGACTATCTGCTGCTGGCTGCTGCTGGCTGCTGCTGGCTGCTGCCCTTGTTTCCGCCCGCATCCGGCCTGTGGCAGCAGCGCGCCCTTCAGAATCCTGCTGCTGCCTTCGACGGTCCCTTCAACACCAAACTCCGGCTCTTATGTCCCCATCGGATCTTGAGACCCTCCGCGTTACATACTCCTGTCTACCGTAGAGTCATATATACATATATACCCGCCTGGCCTCAATGCCCTTGTCGCTCTCGAGTGGCAGACCCCCTCTGTCGCTCGCTTCCATCCGTCGTTCAAAGTGCATCCGCAAACTCGCCTCTCCGCCATCCCCCTCCTGTACCTGGCCCGACCCAGACAAAGGCCTGCCTGTGGTGCGATAACTACTGCTGCTGGTGCTGGTGCTGGTGCTGGTGCTGGTGCTGGTGCTGCTGCTGGTGACTCGTCCTCCTCCACCCTTTCGCTGTCGCTGCTGAATCTCCCTCATCTGCCAACTTTCCACGCCCATTTCGAGTCCACCCTCGCTCACTCCCCGACCGACCCCCAGGCCCCGTCATTGCCATCGCCACACTTCCATCCCGCCATGGCTGCGACGGCATCCACGGCCTCGGGCTCCCCCGACGATCTGCCGGCCCGCGATAAACTGCCAGATGAGCCACGGGGGAAAATACCCGATCGGATTACTGCTCCTCTCTTCCCGTTGGGCTACAAGGAGGGATTCAGCCAATGGGTATGTACACTCGTTTCTAGCTTCTATCCATACATACATACATACATATATACATACATATATATATATATATATATTTGCGCGGGCGATTGATGCTAATACTATTTACAGTGGTCCAGTATCCCCGCTGCAGCCGCTGAACACAAAGTCCTCTCTTTCGTCCCGTACCTCCAGCATCCCCCCACCCACACGCAGACCGGAAAGGACGCTTTAACCCCGAGCGAATCGACCGACAGCCTCACCTCCGCAGACCCCAGCCAGGCCGCTCAGGTCTCCGCCAAATCCATCAACGACCCCCATGGCCCCCGCACCTGGCGCTCCACCATGGTCGAGCTATCGGGCAGCAACCGCGCCCTGAACGAATTCTCCGTCGAGCGCGTCGGCGAGAAGGTCGAGCACAACCTCGTCGTCCTCCACGGCTACGGCGCCGGTCTGGGATTCTTCTACAAGAACTTCGAAGCTCTTAGTCGCGCCAAGGGGTGGCAATTATACGCCCTCGACATGCTGGGGATGGGCCGGAGCACTCGCCCGCCCTTTAAGATACACTCCAAGCAACGCCAGGAAGCCATCCGCGAGGCAGAGGATTGGTTCATCGACGCCCTGGAGGAATGGCGCGTTAAGCGCAAGATAGATCGATTCACGCTCCTGGGTCATAGTCTGGGCGGCTACATGGCCGTCGCATACGCCCTCAAATACCCCGGCCGCCTCAACAAGCTCATCCTCGCCTCCCCCGTCGGGATCCCCGAGGACCCCTACGCCGTCAGCGCCAACATGCCCGAACCAACCGACTCCACCCTCGCCAACGAATTCACCCAGGATCACAACGACCTCACCAAACCTCCGCTCTCAAAATCCGCATCCTCATCCGCATCCTCATCCGCATCCGCATCCGACAACAACAACTTCCTCAACGCCAAAAAAGCCCCAACAGACTCCTCTAAGCCCGCGCCCCGCCGCCCCCTCCCCAAGTGGCTCAAATACCTCTGGGACGCCAATGTCTCCCCCTTCAGCCTGGTTCGCTGGTCCGGCCCGCTGGGCCCCCGCCTCGTCTCCGGCTGGACATCCCGCCGCTTCTCCCACCTGCCGCCCGCCGAGGCCCAGGCTCTGCACGACTACGCCTACTCCCTCTTCCGCATGCGCGGGAGCGGCGAGTACGCGCTCGCCTATATCCTGGCGCCCGGGGCATTCGCGCGCAGCCCGCTCATCAGAAGAATCCATGGGGTCGGGAGGCAGGTGCTTAGCGAAACTGCTGGTTCGACGGTGTCCGCAGCGACGTCGTCGACATCTGTCTCGACGCCGACGCCGACGTCTGCGTTTGCAGGAACGGCAGTCCGCGAGCCCGGGCTCCCCATCACGTTCATGTATGGCGAGCATGACTGGATGGATGTGGCGGGGGGGTATGCGGCGCAGGCGCGGATCGAGGAGGAGAAGCGGCGGGTGTTGGCGGATGCGACGCCGGAGGAGAGGGCGAGGGATAGGGGGGCGGCGAAGGTGGTGATTATCCGGAATGCCGGGCACCATTTGTATTTGGATGGGTGGGAGGAGTTTAACGAGGTTATGTTGGGGGAGATGAGGGCGGTTGAGCAGGAGGAGAAAGGGGAGAGGAGGCAATAACTGGGTGGGATTTTTCCATGTTATGCTGCAGTGTTTTTTTTTTTTTTTTTTTTTGGTAATATATGGGTTGGGCGCACTCTCTCTTTTTCTCTTTTTCTTTTCCTCTTTTTTTCATTTCCTCTTTTTCTATTTTCCTTTCCTTTATTTCTCTTTTCCTGTCCTTTCTTTCCTTTCTTTCTTTCTTTTTCTACATGTTTATTGTCGTATGTTTGATTTCAGGGGATCCTCCATGGGATACGCCGTACCAGTATCTGTGTTGATAGAGCTGTGCATATAGTTCATTGGTAGATGATCGCTCCTTTTGGCGGTTGGCATGTTCTGCTACAAGAACGTCTGTCCCTCTCCAGTGTGTTATAATAGCAATAAAGCAACAATCGCTGCAGTAACAGAACAGTTGGGATGTGGCCAGCGAATTGACTACGGGTTTTGTAGCTGCTGCTTCAGGCGGGGGGGATCGATCAGGCGCTGACGTAACTGACCAACCAACCAACCGCCCGGTTTCCATCCAAGCACATACACCTGAAACCTCCAACCTCCAATCTCCAACCTCCAACCTCCTCTACTGCAGAAGTTGGTGCAGAGACATCGACAGACGTATCTGTCGTGCGTGAATGCCCCGCTTGCTCTGTGCTCCTGGACATGCCCGCTGAGAGGGACCAGTTTTGCCTGTTCCTCCCCGGCGAATTTCCTTGAATCTGCCTGTATGTTAGGACCATGGACATCCCCTTTCCCTGGCACCTGGGGGTGTATGATGCCCATTGCCATGCAACAGACACCATGGCATCCATTGGTGAGATTGTCCAGATGAAGACGGCAGCCCTGACGCTCATGGCTACGCGTGGCGAGGATCAGGAGCTTGTTGCCCAGGCTGCATTGACGTATGCTCCGGCCGCAGACTCGGACTCGGACTCAGTCGACCGGAGGAAGCCCAGAATCATCCCATCATTTGGCTGGCATCCCTGGTTCTCCCACCAAATAATCGACGACATCAATTCAGAAACACGCAATGATCCACCATGTTCCAAAGCGGAGCATTACAAAGGCGTCCTCACCCCGCCCACCAAGGATGAAGGCCTGTTGCACGCGCTCCCAGACCTATACCCGTTGTCCAAACTAATTGCAGATACCAGAGCTCGACTCCGCCAACACCCTCATGGGCTGGTTGGAGAAATCGGCCTCGACCGCTCATTCCGCATCCCGAATGCTTGGCTCCCCCATGAGCTTGAAAAGAGAGATGCCAGCCTGACCCCTGGCTCGCGGGAGGGGAGAAGTTTGTCCCCGCACCGGGTCGCGCTGGCGCATCAACGGCAAATCTTCAAAGCCCAGCTGCGGCTCGCAGGCTCCATGCAGCGGCCTGTATCCGTTCATTGCGTCCAGGCACATGGCGCTGTCCTCGAAGTTCTTCAGGAGCTCTGGTCGGGCCATGAGAGGAAACGCGTCTCTAACCGGCAGAGGAGAAAGCGGCGGCTCAGCGCGGACAAAGCGCACGAGCACGAACAGAGCGATCACGAGAAAGACAAAGAGCATGAAGACGACCCGCAAACGGCTGTAACAGCGTCCCGCCCGTTTCCGCCGCGGATCTGCATGCATTCGTACTCCGGCCCGCCAGACGTGCTGAGGCAGTTCCTGCATGAATCGAACCCGGCCGATACATATTTTTCTTTCTCGAGTGTTATCAACTTTGCGGGAGGCTCGTCGGAGAAGACCGTCGAGGTTATCAAGGCGCTTCCGGAGGACAGGATACTTGTCGAGAGTGATCTACATTGTGCTGGAAACCGGATGGATGAGTTGATGGAGGCTATTGTGCGGCAGGTGTGTTCGATCCGTGACTGGGATTTGGAATATGGGATTCGCATCCTGGGTGAAAATTGGACGCGCTTTGTTTTTGGGTAGCCATGGCCCATTACCTGCCTCTCGTCTCTCCATCAAATGCCCATTTATGAGGGTTCTATCACCGTGTTTAATTTTATTTATTTTATTTATTTATTTATTTATTATTATTATTATTATTATTATTATTATTATTATTATTATTATTATTATTATTATTATTATTATTATTATTATTATTATTATTATTATTATTATTATTATTATTATTATTATTATTATTATTATTATTATTATTATTATTATTATTATTATTAGTTTTATATTTTTGGGCAGATTTCGGGGTTGCCGCCTCGCAAGATCCCAAGGTGGGATTTAGAGCAACTATTCCTTGAACGACTTCCATTTCATCTTTATGAATATTTTTGGCTGCTTCTCAGAATCACAGTCTTCGGAAATCTTTCCAAGAGGCAGCTTGTCCTCTTTTTATCCACTGCAACAAACAAGCAGCGCCGATCCTGCCCAGTCTTCAATCCTAATCCGTCTGGAGAGCAATGAATTATTGCATGTGCTCTACACCTCTGAGCGCTCTGCCGTGGGCGGATTTTGCATTGGACGAAACTCCCCGTGCTGTTTCATATCCCCGCCGAAGCAGGAACCACCAGTTATATTACCTGCACAGCAGCAATGTGTGATCTGTCGATTGGCCCCCCCTCTGCAGATCCCAAATACGGCGACAATATGAGTTCTGACACCTGCACCTTGTCATGCTCTGACCTTGGAAGCGGATAACGGCACTAGAATTTCGAGATCCCTGGAAGGCTACCAGCCGAACAGTTTTCAGGTTTTTTTTACTTTATTTTATTTTATATTACATTATATTTTTAACCAGATGTCAATTACAAGCGTGTGTAAAATGGTGCTGTCGAAGATTGGAAACTGGGGGTTGTGTACAGACCCAGGTTTCTCGCGTTACAATTTCAGGGGCTTAGGGGACCTGCTGTTATTTACTGCGCAACTTGGAAATAATAATGGGCGGAGGTAACAGAGGAATGTTTCAGCTCAGTTGTCTGGACTTGGAGTTATCAGTCCTCGGAGTGTCGATCATATATGCCCTCCAATTACGTTGACTCGTGGACCTCTTGACCAAAATTGAAGACAACTAGAGATGCGGACGCAGGACAATATTGAAAGCAGCCTAAAAGCCATCCCAATTGAGCTTGCGTTTGCTGCCTGAACCTTCAAACCAACATCAAGATCCTGCCTGTGGCGTTGGGAATGGTTTGGTAGAAAATGCTCCTCCTCCTTTTTTCTCTCTCTCTTTGTTTCTGCTGTTTCGTTTCTTGTTACTCTGCATCTCACGCCTCAGTGATCCCACACTTCACCTGGATGAACCGTTGGGCGCAGGCTACTGACGCTTCAACGACAATATCTTCACGCTTGATGGAGCGTTCTCCGCTTGATTAAGGAGATGTGCTACGCATCGGCGTTCCGCTTCCCAGAAACGGAGATTTTTCCCCATGGTGGACACCATCGTGGCAGATTACCTACGAGGATGGTACGGAGTATGCCCCGGTATTTTTGTTAATAGCGCCCCCCTAATATTTTAGTGGCCGAACCAAAATTTTGGGAGAACACGCATATATTCGGTGGCAGGCAGGGTTAACCCTAGAAATTTATATGCAATATCCTCGGAATCGTAGAAAGAAATCTCTGGGCTCTTGTATGTTCATCTCCTGCCTCTATAAGTTCTCATATTGATTCTCTGTTATAGCCTCCCAAGCCTGAATAACAACCGTATGAAAGATTGCCATAAAAGAGATTTTTCCTCTTCTCCACAAGGTTTCAATACAGCAGCGATTGAGTTTAGATCGGCGGAATATGCTGGCCATTGCATCGGGGTTATTCCCATGTTCTTGAAAGTCTTGAAAAGTTGCACCTAACGAAAATACCGGGGCATGCCTGCGCTTAATAACGGTGTGCTCAAGGGCCAGCTATCGGACTTGGCTCTTGTTCATGTTCCCAAGCCACCGGGCGTGGATCTCCTGCACAGGAAATAAGATTTTCAGTCCCTTTTGGGGATGGGGGGGCATTTTCAAATGGTCTACGATGCACAGAAGCAGCCACAGAGCCAGTGCAGGGTGACACGGACAGCGGGATATGGGACTCGTCAAGCTGCACAAAATCGGGCAAGCCCACGTATTTGGGGTGAATTACGACTGCTCGTGGAGGCGTGGTCTAGGAGATGAGGGGGGGGGCGTTTCTTCTCACCTCCGTACCTGCATATCCTTTCCATCATGCCATTTCCTATGGGAGTGCTCACCATAACTTTCCCCCGGAACCAATTGCACAGACTGAAGACTGAAATCTCGTTATTTCAGATAAGCAGGACGTCTTAACGATCACGTTCTTTGGATTCTTTGGAAGGAGGTTTTCGCGTGCGGGAGAGGTATCTCGATCAATAATATACCTTTTTCTGGGGACTTTTGGCAACCCGACATTTCCAATGGCATCGAACGATAGGATCTAGGGATTCGACAACACAGAGCTCTCGTCGCTCAGCCGACACATTCCCAATGAATCGCTTCCCCGAACCCCTCGATTGGGGCGGTTTCATAACAACTGTCATTTCAGTCAATACCTTCTGGTGGATCTGGGACATTCCCCTGATATGGCAGAGGGGATTTCGCGCATACATCGACGCGATTACCTGGGAATGTGTTCGACTTTACATGCCTTCCGTCGCCGCGGCATTTGCAATTTATCACACAAGCGATCGCGCTCGCTGGCCCAAGCTCTACTATTTCGGCGGCCGCGATGAAGCACTCACTGAAAGTATGACCGATGCGGAGGTTATGAGGATAGTGGTGACGGACTCGCTAAACGTGACTGCGACAGTTTTGACGCTCTCCCAATTGTTCATCAAGGGTTCGGATATGCTATTCAACACGGCACTATGGGCGTTTCCGAGCCTTCAAGTGTCGCTGATCGGTATTTGGATTGTCGGTTCCTCGTATACCATAAAACGCCCGAGACAGCATATTTTCATGGGTGGAGCTGTCTTAATCCTTCTGATCGGCTCCTGCACCGGAGTTATCTTAATGTCTTCGACTGTGACAAAAATCCAAGCGTGGCTACCGGCAACTATGCTGTTCATTTTCATGGCGACACCTTTTTGCCTGTACTTGTCGGAAATTCTTATAACTTCAGTTGTGCTGGTTGCGATTATGGGCCGAGTTGGAGGTCTGGCGTTTACTGCATTACTTCCAGGGTATTTCGTGCCATCACCTTATATCAAACACCCAGTGTTTGGAACTGCCTACCTGGTCATGGGAATTGCGGGGGGGATCCTTGCGGTTTATGGCAGATTTCGACTGAAGCATATCTGCCTGGTCCTGCAACAGGGGGAGACTCCTCGAATTGGAGCTTCGCTTATGGAGGTAAGCCGAAAAGCTTGGTATATATTGGCAGGCATATCCTTGCTCTACTTTCTAAGCCTTTTATCCAATCTAAAGGGAATGTCGACACTCGCCACCTTTCGGAAACGGCTACGTGACAAACGCCGACGAAAATATGTTCTCGAGAAGGATGGAAGGGCTGTGGTAAGCGCTGGCGGGCCCCTGTGTCTGGAATCCTGGGTTTAAATTGTTCTTGCCTCCGTGGAACTATAGGTAACAGGATGATTACTGTAGCCGCAAGGATGTACAAGATGGTCCCAAAGGCACAGCGGGACTTACCAAGTAAGCATTGTTATTATTATTGTTATTTCCCCCTACAGGGCCAGACAGCGCGAGGACGTCTGCATCACTAACATATCCATGTAGCCGATAATACAACAACCAGAGAGGGCTTATTGTTCCGAATTAATGGCTGATGTTAGAAAAGACTACTTTCCCCAACCGCAACTCCTGCTCGACTCTTCCCATCGATGACAAGCTGACAGAGTCTTCATATTTTCAGGAGTATCCTCGGCCCCAACCTCGAACGGTACATGACTCTCCAGACGAGGTATGATTTATATTTGGAAAACTACCCTCATCAAAAACGGCCCTTTCTCCGAAAGAGGCTAACGCAAGGCCTTTGCTTCTTGTTTGGATATTTCGCAGGAAATCCGAAGAAATGCATACTCACACAAGACGCCCAAAGAAGTGATACAAGTTATCGAATATCCCACATTTTCCGAATCTATAGAATCTGTGTTTTTCTCTGATCGGTCCCGGGCACGGTCGCCGCCAATAAAGCGGAAACCTGTCGGGAGCGATTCGCAGAGGAGGGTACGTCCCTTCGTTCCCCGTTGAGAAAGGGAATCATGAAATCGTCGAGAGACAGGGTGATGTCCCTATAGCATTAGCTAGCTAACAGCAATTCGTTCATGCAGAGGGAGCGAAGGCGGGGTGGCGATGATGAGAAATATATAACAAACGTGAGAAGAGCCCCCCCCCCCCTCTGGGCTTACCTTTTTACCTATATCAACACACCCAGATTCCATTAGATATCTGGCTTATTTCCGCAGATACAAAAACCAAAACCAGTGGTATGCGTGCCACACAGCAATCGTATACACAATGGCCATAATCATAATAAGAATGTAAGTTGCGATCGAAGCGATAACAAAATGGGATCCAAGAGGCGGGGCGTAAGGATAGTGTGGTTTGAGAACGTAATTACTGACCATAAGATCTCCCCAGAACTCAAACCGTGCATTATCACCACGGTCGGCGAGCGAGGTATATTTTCCCCTCTACTCTCATGTAAAAGGAACAAGCTTGGCCAGAAGCTCCACAGCATAACCTGCATCGCTAACCCGCACTGCCACACAGGAATTCTCAAAGAAGCGCAGAGCGCGATACTTTGAAGGAGACGCCGGAAGAATACATGTGGGACTGCAACAGCAGCAGCAGCAGCAGAAATGCCGTCTCGCGCAACACCCTTTGCATTTTGGGATGGGGATCGAAACCGTTGCCGAAACCGCCCTCGCCCAGTGGCATGGCTAAGGTAAAGAGTAGGATCGGGAGCGCTGGGGGCGCTGGTGTCATGCCTGGTCTCCGCTGAGAGGGGGGAAATGTTGAGGCTGAGCAGCTACCTGTTTTCGATCATGGATTGAGAGGATGAGAGAATGGATGGGAGTAGTGGTACATTCTTTTAGCTCTTTCGTTTTGTTGGTTTCTTTTGTGGGGGCGGTTCTGGGGCATATGGATTGGAATGGTTTTTTTTTTTTTTTTTTTTTTTTTTTTTTTTTATTTATTTATTTATTTCTCATGGAAATGATGATATTGCTTATTTGGATTTGGAATGAACATGTATATATATGCACTGATAAACTGCCATTTAGGGCTGGATGGTGGATCAGGCGGTTTGACATATGAGCACGGCTCATTGGAATATCGGCTGTTTCAAGCCGTATGAGTAATAGGACCGACAGCCACTAGTGTATAAGTTCCACCATCGATCGATCTCTGGACATGTAAGTACATTATCCGTGCATGGAGAGAAAAAACAACATATATTCATTCTGTCGTCTAATCAACGTTTTTAAAGTAAAACCTAAAAACAAAACGCCGTAGCCGTAGGTTACCCCCCCCCCCCCCAACCCCAACGGGCATATCCACTCCCACCCTACACCTCTCATTTACTCTTATCAGGGACATATTTACCCTCCTTCCCCTCCAACTGCGCCTCCAACACCGCCCCCTTCCCACACTTCACGCTCTCAACGGCCTTGGGCAGCAACTCCGCCAACTCCCCCACCGACCCGGCGCATCCAGCCCACAACTCGCCGCCAGCCGCCGCCTTCGCAATCCCCGCATAATCCGGCGTCGGCACAAACGAGATATTCAGCTCCTCGTTCGTCGCGCGCGACGCATCCCCATCCGGATGCACAAGCAACATGCTCCGCCGCGGCGCATTCCAGCCCTTATTATTCAACACGATGGTGAGCACGGGGATGTTGTAGCGGCGCGCAATCCAGTACACGGAACCCGGCACGCTGAACAGGTACGTGCCGTCGCCGACGATTTGGCAGACGAACTTGCCCTTTCCGGCTCCGCCGTGCTGGTCGTCGGAGGCTAGCTTGATGCCCAGCGCGGCGCCGCCGGACCAGCCGAGACCGCCGCCGCCGCAGTTTATCCAGGAGTTGGGAAGGGTGGGCTGGATGTGCTCTGCGACGAAGCCGGTGAGGGTGACGGCTTCGATGCACCAGATCGTGTCTGCGGGGCAGGCGGAGCGGATTTGGGAGATCAGGTACGCAGCGTTCAAGGTGGCGCTTGGCCCGCCGGTCGGTGTGGCGGCTTGGGTAGCGAGGAATTGGAGATGGGCCTTGTGGGCGTCTGCAATGGCGGTACGGCGGGAGGCGTATTCTTGGCTTTTAAGGGTCTGGGCGAGGGAGGTGTTGTTGGAGATGTACTGGTTGAGCTGGCGCAGGGAAGTGGAGGAATCAGCACGATAGGTGGCCAGGGCTGGGAGGTAGAAGACCGGCATTTGCTGCTTCAGGGGATCGACATCGACGTGGAAAATCATGGCGGAGTCAGAGGGCCTGCAGAGGGTGGGGATCCAGGGGACGTCGCAATCGATGACGAGAATGACGTCTGCGGTTTTGATCTTGTCGTGGACTCCGTAGCGAAGCCCCAGGTATGCCGGGTGGCTGGCTGGGAAACACATGTCGCTTCCGCCGCAGTCGATGACTTGGAGGCCATGGACCGTGTCCGCGAGGGTGACGAGCTCTGTCACCGCGGATGCATTTCGTCCGCTGTAGCCTGTAATTACCAGCGGTTGTTTGGCAGACACCAGGGCCTCCGCGATTTGCCTGACGCCATCCTGAGGCAATGCTGTGGGCTCAACGGCTCTCCACGTGTTTTGGTTGACAGTGTAGGGCTGAATTTCTTCCTCCAGGACCTCTCTGGCGCCCACTAGATATACAGGGCCCTGGGGATGACTTGTGGCAAACTGCAGCGCTCTGTTGACGATCTGCTTAACGTTCCTTCCCGTCTTGAACTCTCCGGAATATCGGCAGTACTGAGAGACGATTTGCTTCTGGTCGGGGACATCCTGGATCCAATGGATGTATTCCGTACGGGAACCCCGCATTTCGCCCTCCAGGGTAAAGGGGGACAGGCCCGCAAAGATCAACACCGGGGCCCGACCACACGAGGCGTTATGAACGGCAGCGCCCAAGCCCTGAGTGCCGACATCGACATGCACGATGACACACTGCGGCCTACCGGTAAGCCGAGCGTATCCGTCGGCCATGGACAGAGCGACCATCTACAGCACGGGCAGCGCGGGGTTAGCAGGCAGGCAAGCAGGCAAGTAGGCAAGCAGGCAGGGAGTCCGTCTCGCGGTGCGGTGGGGTGCGGCAAACGACGTACCTCATTGGGACAGGTGATGATGGTGGGGAACGCGCCCCGTTTCTCTCTCTGGCCTTTGACAATCGCTTCTAGGATGGAAGGGTGGTCCGACCCCAGGTTGACAAAGACATGGCTGACCCCGGCCTGCCGAGAGACACCCAACGTCAATCAATCAATATTAAAACTAATATTAAAAACTTTGGCTGGACAAGGAGCTCGTTGTAAGGGTGCGGGGATGCAACAACCAACCTCCCAGAGCGCCTCGAAGAAAGCAAATGACGCCGTGTAGACCCTATGTGTTTACAGAACACCGCATGTTAGCAATCTGTGCGGCTGCAGGACACGGAAGAGCAGACTTGATTCGCCGGTTGGGGTTCCACACATTTTCTGTACGCGCCGTGCACCGTGCAATCTAGCAATCCAGTTGTTTGACTCCGCTCTATATATGTATATATATATATATATAACCCAGGAGACGGGGATGACGAGTCGAATAAACGATTGGTATTTTCCGGTTCCTAGTCTTTTTTTTTTTTTTTTTTTTTGGTTGGGGGGGGGGTTGGGTTCAAGCCTGGAGCGGACTCGAGAGATCAAATACGAGCGAGTTGACATCGACTTTGGGATATACGGGGGTGTTGAAGATGCCGAAACCGAGGGGTGAGTGGCTGAGTCAGCCGATTGGTGTTGCCCCGAGCCAAATCTTGTCCAAGTGTGAGTGAGACTCATCGATAACACTGTGATTAAGTTAAAGCAGGTTGATTAAAAAAATAAAAAAATAAAATAATAAAAAAATAAAATAATAAAAAAATAAAAATAAAAATAAAATAAAATAAAATAAAATAAAATAAAAAGGCGCAATGAAGCACAGCTGTTATGGGCATGCAAAATTAAAGAACAGGAAGAATGCGTCCCGCTGCTGCTGAATTGTCAGATCCTCTGCCTCTGGATTGGAGTATACGGAGTTTGATCTTGTCGTTGGTAATTTGAATGCCCATGACGTCAGTACTAACTAGCTGACTGACTGACTGACTGACTGACTGAAATGGACTCTCTCTCTCATTCGTGTTCTGCATCTATAACTAACTAGTTACCACTTGGGATAATTACGCACTTTTGCCCGGGTTGTTTTCCATTTGGGACTGCGAGATGTGACTGAAGAATGGATGGACAGTTTCACTGGAGGACCGCTCTGTCTACTTTCCTGACCAACTTCAATGACGAGACCGCACAGGAATAATCAACCCCCAGTTTCCAAGTTCTTCATCCAGTAGAAATACGGAACAGGAACCAACAATATGCACCTGGCGCAGTCCCCGTCGCCCTCGCCCTCGCCCTCGGGGGTTGCGTGCGTGATACGCCGTCCTCCTCTCGCCTTCCGGCCCTCGCCGTCTCTTCGGCACCTTCCACCCCCTACCCCACCCCGGGGCAGTTCCTCCAATATGACATCTCGTTGGTTTTCTTTTTGCCCTCCAGCTCACTCACTCACTCACTCTCTCTCTCTCTCTCTCTCTCTCTCTCTCGGGTCTCTCCCAGACTGTGCCCGTTTAAAGCTTGCATCAGCAGCAGCAGCAGCAGCGGGGTTTGCCGCGTGCCTGTGCGTTCTTCGCCGTTCTCATTTTTCTCGCTCGCCCTGTCAGTCGACACGTGTCCCTCAGCAGCGACATGTTTCCCGAGTGGATATATGAGCTCTGCCGTGAGGGCTCGACCGTGACATTGGAAGTGGCCAATGACCCTGACAGCGCGGCTCGTGACATCATTGACAGGTTGTTCAGGCCCCCCCAGAACAGTCTCTGTGGCGGATGTGATGGCGGCCACCAGCGGAAGCGAAATAAACATCTGGACTTGCAGCAGGCGTATCTGTGTGGGAGATGGGGTGACCAAAGACCCAGTGACCTCTTCCTTCAGGTAAGAGACTACTATAGGATTACGCCTAATGTACTAATGCGCAGTGTTTTCATCTAGATATTCCATGATGTAGTCTGTACGCTTGACCGCGATCCGATGGCCGGGTTGACCTCACCTGCACTGCTGGGGAGCTCTGGTGTTGTGCCGCTGACCATCATCGCTCCGACCCCCGACATCTGCCGCCATATGGCCAATTGTATCGTTCGGGCAGACAAGGAGGTGTTCCTGGCCACCAACTACTGGATCTTCTCCCGCTGCTCAACCATCATAACAGATGCTTTGCGGGAGATATCCGTTCGTGCTGGGAAACGCGGAACCAGAGTAGTAGTGAAGATCATGTATGATCGCGCACAGCTGAAACAAGTCTGTCAGCACGCACCGCCGCTGTTGTTGAAGTCCGGTGTGAGAAATCCTTTGTTTGCGTGCAACCAGCTAACCAGCTACAACAGATTTTTAAAAATCGTCTGTTTGTCTATCCAAAAGTAGCGACAGATATCCATGTGCAACTGCCTCCGCCGGAGCACATCCCCAATCTTGACCTGGAAGTCATGAACTACCACGGCCCAGTGCTTGGCACATTTCACTCGAAATTCATGATTGTCGATAGGAGATTGGCTCTGCTTCAAAGCAACAACATACAGGTTAGCACGACTGCCCGTCACTGCCCGTGGATCTTCCATGATTGAACTTGGAAGTTGGAAATCTTTGCTGGTTGTTACAGCTGCGGTCTCTGACCCCTGCTCTTTAGGACAACGATAATCTGGAGATGCTGGTGCGATTGGAAGGCCCCATCGTCGATTCTCTCTACGACATGGCGATCATCTTGTGGAATGCTAAGATGAGACCCATGCTTCCGATGATCAATTCGCCGGCGGCATCGGATCAACCGCCAAGCTTTGCCGACCATATCTCTCGGACAGGCCCTGAGAGAGTTCCCGGCACCATGCCAACAGAGAGGTGAAGTCACTTGATGCCATCCAAGATGTGGTTGGGAACTAGTCTTAATTTTTTTTTTTTTTTTTTTTTTCCCGAAGCAGCCAAGCACGAACAATGGAGAGCACCGATAACCCCGCCCGAGACTGTGAAGAGTATCTCCCTGATATCGCGGCAGAAGCTGCAGGCATCCAAGCTCGCCTTAGGCGTCGGGGTTTTGAACACAAAGTGGAAGCTATCGCACGCCCCTTGAGTTTGTACAGCCGCATTTCTGGTGTGTGTCGAAGATTTGTTCGTTCGCCTTGCTGACCATACGTAGATATTATCAAGCGTCCCGATGGAATAGGCGATGCCCCTGAATGGCCCGAGGAGGATGATATGATACCTTACATCTTACATTCGCCGCATAAGCCATTTCCGATGGCGTTGGTATGTCGAGAGCCATGGCCTGGTAGGTCTTACAAATATTGAAAATAGAGTCTGTGCTGCGCGTAGCTGATAAGCCATCAGCTCTGAATCGCTCTAGTGTCTACACACCTCAGAACGTTGCCTTTCTTTCAGCTATCCGCAACGCTCAGAGGACCATTTTCATTCAAACACCGAATCTGAATGCGGAATACTTGCTCGATCCCATCCTCGATGCTGTTCGCCGTGGAGTCGTGGTGACCTGTTATCTCTCTCTTGGATATAGTGATGCAGGACAACTACTTCCCTTTCAAAATGGCACCAACGAAATGATATCAAACCGACTCTACAACTCTCTCCGCTCAGAAGCAGAAAAGTCACGGCTTCGGATATACAACTATGTAGCGAAGGACCAGACGCGACCCATCAACAACAAATTCAAACAGCGAAGCTGTCATATAAAGCTGATGATCATTGACGAGCACATTGCAATTCAAGGTGGGAACCACGGGGATCTGAAGTTAACATTAAACTGTCGTTTTGTTAACAGCCATTATAGGAAGTGGGAATCTCGATACTCAATCCTTCTTCCATTCGCAGGAGGCCAATGTTCTTCTTGACTCCACCGATGTATGCCAGACCTGGCTCGAGGGCCTCCGCAGAAACCAGAACACGGCTACATACGGGGCGGTTAATCCACAAGATGGATGCTGGCACGATCCGGTGACAGGCGAAATGGCAGAAGGCTCGATCGGAGTTGATCCTGGCAGGTTTAGTTGGATGAAGGGGATTGTTGGGGTGATCCAAAGAGTTCAGGGAGCCGGAGGGTTTTGAAGGGATGTGAAGCAGTGATTTGTTAAGGAGACGAGGAATCAGCCCTCTGAACCCGGTTTGCTTATCTGTTACCTTATACCTGTATACCTTTTCGCTCTCCTCTTTTGGCGTTTGGAGGACCTGGAAGCGAACCGGCGCTGCTACAGATCCCTGCTGATTATATGATATGACTTCTACGGTATGTGGGATTGTGCAAGGAGATTAACTAATTATCCGGGGGGGGGGTTTGACAGGTTTTAACTTTTAGATGACCAGTGAAAATGAGTTTACTTTTATTAAAGCGCAGGTCCAGTAGAAAAGCATAAATGTCTCCAGAAGTGGGAAGCCATTTTCCCCGTTTCGTGTTGGTGAGAAAGGGGGGGGGGGGGGGGGGGGGGGAGCGAATGAGAAGAGGAAGATTTCAGGCGGGGATATCGCGCGAAGCAACCAATCCAGGACGAGATCCATCGGGCCCTCAACAGGAGAAGCCTATAGATTTCGACAAGACGTTTTCAAGCCATCAGTCACGGCGGGATCGGGAGTTGCGTGTCTATCAGGATTTCCATTCCTTTCATTGTTCTGTTCTAGCTGCTGTTTTTGAACTTGGTCCGACTGAGGTTAAAAGGGGTAAGCAATGGCAGATCAGATTAGGTGTATCGAGTTATATCAGAATGGATGATATTGAGTTGTGCTGAAGAAGGGACAGTCCTAGTCTGAGATATCAATTGGGCAATGAATACCTTGAGTAGCTGGCTATCCAACTGCCAGACGGGCAGTTCTGAAGAGACGAAACAAGCCTTGGAAAAACAGTGACCAGCTATCCCGTAACTACCCCCTGATGCCCTTCAGTTAGGAGTAGTAACATAACGTAACTGCTGGAATCTCAGCAGGAGAGAAAAGGGTTCCACGGGGGTTATTATTTTTAGCCCGTGAGCTTTCTCATGGGCCATCCCTGAGAATCTGACTTGTTTTTCGTTTCCTTGATGAAAATAGGATTGCCCTTTTGCTCCAGAGGGACAGAGGGACGGTTGTGTCCGCTACCTAAATCTATAGGAAACGGTTCTTTTCTTCACAAAACGTAAGATATTATTAGCGGTCGGAATAGATGTATGCACGCCTTGCAGTGGACTGGCATGCTCTGCAGGCGCATCATTCCAAGGCCAGCCCTGATATCTTCTGCATCTATATAAAACACTCTTCGGAAGGGGTCATATTTATTTATTAACCGGCCTCGATCGGAGAAACTGTAAACGCGGCTCCCGACGCAACCTTCCTTGGATGCAATCCAGCTTGGATTTGGAATCCCGCTTCTCATCAACTACTGAGCGCTGTGCTGAGGTTGCAGAAGCGGAAAACAAAACCAAAAAAAAAAAAAAGTCAAATCTGGCATCGGCATCGGCATCGGCATCGGAATCGGCATCATGTGCTGGGTCGAGATGTGGTTTTTGTCGCAATTCGCATTCCTGCAGTTGGAGTTGCAGTGAAGATTATTATTATTGTTATTGACTGATGCGTCGGCTGAGCATGCGACGACGTTGGTCACAGCCCGCAGGATCACGTTTTGCCTGCGGCCATTGGTTGGTTGATAACCCTCGAGCACCATCCTAGCTCGAGCTAATCGCGATCAGAGGCGGGCCGGGGGGGGGGGTCTTTTCCTCGGCGCGGGACATGTGTGGGTCGATCACTGACTGAGCTTAGCACCAGCACGTCGTCCGCTGCCCAACGACAGGCGGGTGACATACATGGTCTCTCAAGGACTGTTTTGAGTGTCTGATGGCACACGCTCAGTGTGCTCTGTGGGTGGCTCTTTTTGTCGGGTGGAATGTCGCGTGTTGTGTTTTCAGTTCAAGGGAAACTCTTCTCTACGCCGGAAAGAAAGAAGTGCCAGGAACGAGAGACATGTAACTACGGGGGCCTAGCTGGGGGGCCCAACAACAACGATGAAGAAAAAAAAAGGAGGGGGAGGAGGGTGGCTGCTATTAACATGCAAATGCGGGATACATTCTATACATTCTATATACATTTATACATTCTCCTTTCTCTCGACATCTTAAAAGATCCCTAGACTCTTCTTATCATACAGGCCCGTCTCTCATCGCCAGAAAACCCTCAGCAGATGGTTCGCAATGTATTATTATCTCCCGCACCGCTTCTTCTCATGGCGTGTTTCCAGGAACCAGTTACCCGGCGAAGCCTGCAGTTGGTTAGTGCACGCGTTCCATGCAGGAGACCTCATCGGCCAGTTAGTTATGCAAAGCTGTCGGCCAATCAATGGACTTGTCATTTTCCTGTTGGTAGACGTTAGCTATACCCACTGCAACTCCAGGAAATGTGTGTGTGTGTGTGTGTGTGGGGGGGGGGGGGGGGGGGTTGCTCCTCCAGTCCGTGATTTCTTGCATGTTCGAGAACAGGGATCTACAACAGAGGATCGTTAAACGCCGCAGGGCAGGGGGTCGTGAGCTTATTATTTGCCAACTCCCAGGGAGCTTTTTTAGTTATATCTTAGGGTTGCAATTGAGTTCCTTTTTTGGTGTTCAGTGTCGGACCCGGGCAACAGCTCCTGGATCTGCTGCATATCACTGCGGAAGCATGTGCCTGCCAGCGACGGGGTCCCTGGGTCAAGGTAAATTCGGGTTTTGAAAGGCAATATTATTTGTTGTTCCAAGGGTCACTTCAACTGGTGGGTGATTTGGGATCTTTCGCGTCAGCTCCATGTTTTGTTTGTCTCCTGTCAAATGACAGAATCAGGCGCGTTTCGGACATCGGCCTTGGTTGGCTCGACTTCCTCAAGGGGTTCGGTGATGATATCAGGCAAACCGAATCCCGTTTACCCATACTCCGAACTCCCCTCCCCTCCCCCAAAAAAAAAAAAAAAAAAAAGAAGAAGAAAAAAGAAAGAAAAAAAAAACCTAGATTGTGTCAGGTCACATCTCCGTTGACGTGGGTGGGGGGGGGGTGTGCCACTTGACTCCCAAGATGTAGTTACCGGAGAGTCCGGGGAGAGTCGCATGTCAGCCCGGACCCCTGCTCTTCGCTTTAGCGATGCCACCGGGTGACAATGCTCGTTCAGCTTCCCTCGTTCTAAATCCCGGGCGGCGCGGGACTGGGTCCGTGAAGCGGTCGCCCCAGCTGCCTCCTTGATGTGTTGCTGGCGCAGGCGGCGTGAGCGGGCGTCAGCCCGGTCCCCCAGGCGGGGCAGAATAATCATATAAGAGCCGGTCGTCTACCCTCAAGCCCAAATCAGAAGAACTGTCCGACAGCAAATCCGAGCTCTCTCATACCTTCTCTCGTCTTTTACGCGACGCCCTCCAGCTCTCGGCACCTCTTCCCCACCATGCTGTTCTTCGACTACGGTCTCGCGTTCGTCCTGGCGGCGCTCTCTGTCGTTGATGCGGCACCGGTCAACAAGGCCCCTGTTGGTATCCAGGTTGTTCCCAATGGATACATCGTCGTGATGAAAGCCAGAACCTCTCCCGAGAGATTCGAGCGCCACCGGAAATGGGTCGGTAACATGCGGAAGAATCGCAAGGGCATCAAAGCCCCCAAGGCCCTCAGATCGTTCCAGTTCAACAGCGGCTGGAAGGGATACTCTGGTGTTTTCGACAGCGAAACCCTCATCCAGATTGCCAATGATGAAGACGTGTGTCCTCCCCTCTCGTCCGCTCTCTCCCCTTCAAACTCTGACTTGGACAATATGTTTTCCAGGTCGACTACATCGAAGAGGATGGCATTGTGACCGCCAATGCTCTCATTACTCAGACCGGCGCCCCCTGGGGATTGGCTCGCGTTTCCTCGCGCACCCCCGGCGCCAAAAACTACGTTTATGACTCGACCGCTGGTCAAGGGGTCACCGCCTACATTATCGACACTGGGATCGAAACGAGCCACCGGGACTTTGGCGGTCGCGCGAAATGGGGAACCAACACCGTCGACTCGCAGAACACCGACTGCCACGGCCACGGCACTCACGTTGCGGGAACCGTTGCTGGCACCACCTACGGTGTTGCCAAAAAGGCCAACCTGATCGCTGTGAAGGTGCTTAACTGCCAGGGCAGCGGATCTAACTCGGTTGTCATCCAGGGAATGCAGTGGGCTCTCAACCATGCCACTCAGAACGGGATCACCAAGAAAGCAGTCGTGAATATGAGCTTGGGCGGTGGCTATTCCCAAGCTACCAACCAGGCTGCGGCCGCAATTGTCAAAGCTGGTATATTCCTTGCCGTGGCTGCTGGTAACGATGCTGTACGTGCCAAAATTATGTATATACCGCCGCGCCGGCTATCCAAAAATTACATACTAACGAAAGTTTTAGGCCGACGCTTCCAAATATTCTCCCGCTTCCGAGGTAACCGCTTGCACTATTGGCGCCTCAAATTCCAGCGACCTCATTGCCAGTTTCTCCAACCGGGGCAAACTAGGTAAGCTCCTCTACAACCTGCCATCGAATAGCAATTTCCCTGTTTCGAGGGGGGGCTAATGAATATATGTGTGTATCTGAAACCGCACACAGTTGATGTCTTTGCTCCGGGCGTCGATATCCAATCTACCTATGTTGGCGGGGGTACCAAATCCATGTCTGGAACCTCGATGGCCTCGCCCCATGCCGCCGGGCTTGGTGCTTATCTCATCGGCCTGGAGGGCATTAGCGGAAACGCTGTTTGCGAGCGCATGAAGGCTCTCTCCAGCGCTGTTGTTCGAGGCGTTCCAAGCGGCACCACCAACAAACTAATATACAATGGCGTCAAATAGGAGGGTTGTCGCAGGCTTTTCTTCCAGCTTTGAAACGATCAGAGGTGAACGTGGAAGCCGTTTTCATATATTTTCCCTGTGCTTCCAGGCCAGCAATTCTTTTTAACTTTTTAATTAATTATTTATTATTTATTTATTTATTTTTCTTCCCATGTACCCAGTCTGTATGCAGCGACGCTGTTTTCTATTCCCCCATCTCCCGATATTTGCTTGATACCCTGAGGCCTGAGCACGGTGCGTTGGAGGTTGATCGGGCTGAGACATGGCTCCCATCGTGTGCCCCCCCACCCCAAAAAGGGGTTTTGCTGTGGGATTGGCTGGGCTACTCAGCAGTCTGCCTGACTAGGATTCAGCCCTCAGCCGCCTCCTTTCGGAAACCCCTTTTTCCTCGTGTCTGCGATGTCTGCGGCCGCTGCTTGTTCTCGTCCTTTTATTCCTAGCATCTGACGCCTCGCGCATATATATACATATATATTATATAAATAGCATGTTTGTATATAGCAACAAGTATGCATTCCATTTCTGTCAGCGACATTTCGTTATTGCATCTCCTGAGTGTTTGCTCCTGAGGGGCCTTGTGACTCCACGCAGATGTGAACATGGACGAGGACATAGCAGGATAGATAACCAACTCCAACATCCATTGTTGCTATTAATGCTCACCACCCCACTGGCCATCCATGCCTGTAACCTCTCCTCTCAGTACAGCATCATCCACCAGCTTTTAAGTCCAGGATGGCAAATACTTTGTCCAACTGGGTTGAACGGGCTCGTCCAGAGCAGCAGATCTGGAATCCTCAGTTGGACAAAGCAGATATTAAAATTTTCCTTGATATCAATTTCTCGGGAGCATTAAGTCCCCACCCACGTCCATGGCGAATTCTACATTCCCATCAAAATAACGATCACCAGAAAGCGTCATGGGGTCCGAGCCAGATTCCCGCACATATCCAGGCGACACCTCTGAGACGTGAAAGATTATGGAGTTTCTGATGAAACGGAAGTCCGGTAAAGAAAATACAGAAGTGCCGTTTACGCTTGCGCAGGTCCACTCAATGTTCTCCAAAGGAGGATTAACCAGCAGATCAAAACTAATGATTGCCAGGGCCAGGAATCTGTTCAAGGTTCTGAATTTGTCAACCAGTCACCAGCCATACATACATAGTCCACTCAACGCCCCGTTCCGTTCCCTTGATTTCGATGATAACATCTGGTAACCTCCCAAGTTCGAGCACAGCTGCCACTACGCAGACAACACACAGCAAGCGTAGGGCAACAACACAGCAAACGATATTGGACCCCCTGGCCAAGTTCAAAACTGGACCCATAAAATCATCAACAGTCGTTCGCTCGAATCGCGCCTGGAACTTCTGTGCCTGTCAACAGGCGACGGCGGGAGGTTGCAGTTTTCGACCTTCGCCTTAGTTAGTCCTTGGCGGGCTCCTCTCATCCTGGCAATAGAACTGCCACAATTGTCACAACGGACTAAAGTCAGGTAGTTAGTTAGTTAGTGAGTTAGGAGGTTCTTGGCTTAGTAACAACATGTCAGATCGAGATTTGAGGTTGCTCGAATCTAATCCAGCTCCGAATGCAAACTCGACGGCCATCCATTGGTTTGCTCAGCGGCGATTATCCTGAGACAGAAGCTCGGGTGACCCCCCCGGCTAACCGTGCTTGACGACATGGATGATTCATGTCGCCAGCCTGCCAGGGCTGAACAAAGTAAAGCAGCAAAGGAATGTCTCTTCCGAGGTGTAGCAGCTCGACGTGGTCCATTATCAAGAGCATGGTGTCTGTTTCTCACCTCCAGACGACGGAGATAGGGAGAGTTTCCAAGCAAAGCCTCCTTGGGAGGAGGACCATCCGGAGAATTTCCAGTTTCATCGTTTCATTCTGCTCCTCGTATATAGATAGCCCTATAATGATTGCCAATATTCAGAATTCTGACTTTTTCACACAAAACAATAGGCCTTCAGATTCACAGATATAACCCAACAACTCTACGGAAGGGCGTATCTTCCAATGTCCGAGATAAATCAAGGTTTCCCTGGCTAGAAGTTGCATGGAATGGGAGAATAGATCCCCAAATATGTTTGTTACTAGTCACGTACTATCCGGTTTCCACGTCCGCATTTAGTCAAGAAGAACAGAAAATGATTCATTCCATTTTCTTTTCCAGCTGCAGGGCGTCAGTTCTATAATAATAAGTCTTTCTTTCCCCCTGGCTCCATTTATTTTAGATCCATGCTGTTTACACCTCAGAGCTGCCTGGGGGTCAAGAATCAATCTCACCCTCATGTTTTAACAAGAGCGTTTTCGTAGAACCCCTCGAGACATAAAATGCCCTGGGTGAATATGTATTATCTATGGATGTTTTTCTCTTCTAAATATATATATATATATATATATATATATGCACATAAGAGGATGGGAATTTAAAACAGTAACAAGTAAGCTGATGAATTGCTTGTTTACTTGCTGAGGGATTCAAAACAGAAAAGGAAAAAGTAAGGGGTGGAAGTGAAATAAAGCCAGAAAAGAGAAGAACATACTCGGTTCAAATCTTCAAAAATCTCTCCTGAGCAGAAGATAAAACTTAACAGTAAAATTCAACCCGTAATGAGAACACATAGCAAGCACGGTGTCGAAAGCAGGCACACACACACACACACAAGGACCCAAGGACCCAATAACCAAGACGTAAATAATCAGAGAGAAGCATGAATGATGCAGAGATTGATTATGTGGATATTAGTTAGTATCTATGTAAGAATAAGCAGGGATAAAAGTATTCATCGCACATCAATGGTAGTAGTCTTTTCCTCCTCCATACCCAGAAACAACAGCCAACGGCAGCAATAGCAGCAACGACAATATGCTGGGCAAGAAAACACACCAAGCCAGACGAGCGCAAAGAATGAAACAAACAAAAAACGGGTGTCACAAAAAAAAAAAAACAATGGAACCAAAACACAAATAAGAGAAAGGAAATGAGAAAGATCAACACAAATGATACCCAGATTACTAAAGCGAAGAGTGAGAACAGAGAGAAGGGGAAACGAAAAAAGGCACAGGAGACGAAGAGAAAATGTACCACCACAGAAAACATCAAAATTTGAACCAAAATTTTGAAAAAAAAAAAAAAAAAAAACAAATTCCGGAATCAAAAGAGCCAAGTCCTTAAATGCTGTCGCTTTTGCAGTTTAGTTTCGCTACCATCAATCCCCCGAAAAGAAATATAGTCCGTTCGCTTCCTTATCATCTTCTACATATTTGCAAGTTCAGTATCAATCTGGCGATCCAAGAATGCCTTCTTTTCACTGGTCAACGTCGTCTGCAATCGCTGCTCAACGAGTGCACGAACTGGAAAAACCACAATCGTTAGCTTAGATTAAACACACACACGCACACACACACACAAAAAGGAGTAAGCAACTACATACCCTGCTTCTTAGTAACAGTATCCAAATCCACCTCAGCCAGGCAATTCTGGACAGCCTCTGTAATAGTGGCCTCATCCGGTCCCGAACCAGGTGCAGATCTGAAATCCACCACAGTGCTTACCGGCCTAGCTCCCATTCCTAATGGGCTGCGCATGGTGTGCCGCTGTGGAAACCCGAGATGGCTCTCGGTTCCCATAGCTCCAAAGCTACTTAGTCGGTTTGCGCTTGCATTGTTATCGTGGTAAGCGCTCAGATTGCCCATGGACAAATGAGCTTGACTGCGGCTACCAAGTGGCTGGTCAGTGTACCGCGTAAAAGATGAAAAGTGGGAGCTTCTATTGCCGGGGGCGTTTCCGCCAAAGGGACTCGCGGAATGTGGGGTCATGAATGGTCCGTGTGGTCCTTGAGTAGGGAAGCCGGTGAGAATGGTCGATGCGGGCCTCACCGAGGAATAGGTTGAGTGCATATCGTCCATCTCCATAGCAGTCTCATCACCATAAACCGGCGGGTAAATCTTTTCGTGTCCAGATGGAGGACCGCCCCGACGGCCTGGAAGGTTGTTGGCCAAAGCATAGTCATCCCAGCGTTGTAGAGGGATGCTTCTGGGGTCGAAAGCTTCATCCTCCACTGCAATCACACGTTTATCTCCCTTCTCACCAAGGACAATACGGGTATTTCCCCAAGTGAAATTGTCTTGATTCCAGAAGGAGTAGAGCGGAAGTATGAAACTGTAAATAGGGAACGCCATGATGTATATTATCATCCATCCAATATGCTGCCACTGGCGTTTGACGATAAAGATAACTGCCTGCAAACCGTACACACCAGCAATGATCGCGATTGAAATAATCGGAAATTGTCCCTTGTTGGTAGCAGCAAGGTAGATGATATAGACCAGGTAGGCGCAGGTTGCGGGAAGGATAATCGTTCCGAAAAGATCAATAAACACAATAAATCTCATGCTGAAGCAGCAGAAACCGCATAGGTCAGGCAGGAACATCAATTCCGCCAGGTTGTGGATTGTCGAGTTGATCCAGCGACGCCTCTGGGATAGCAAAACGGACCATGTTTCTGGAGCTGCAGTGTTGGCATATGCATCTGGAATGAATTTGTAGCTCATGTGTGGGAAATGCTTGGTCATGAGTGTTGTGAGATATCGATCCTCTCCGAGGGACAGGAGATTCTTTTTGTGCAATGTATCGATTTCAATGTCAGAATATTCACTGAGAACCTTGTCCGAAATGATCAACGGACGACCTTTATCAGCAGTGCGGAGGCGATACATGCAGAAGCTACAAAAACAAGTTAGCTAATGGACATCAACCGGCAAGGGGGGAAGGCAAACTATCAATCATACCATCCGGGCAGACAGGTAACACTGCCAAAAAGAGATTCGAAAGCTTTAGACAGGTGGTGGGAAATATAGTACTCGTAGACTTGAATCATAGTCCACCAACTGCGCTCTTCATTCTCTAAGCTAGTTTCACCACAGATACCAGCGATCTTAGCATCATTCGCACAACTCGCCACAAGTCGGTTCAAGGAATCCTCTTTCAC